GCGCATGTGGCATAATCGGGAAATCTTCTTGCACCTAGCTTAATCGAGGTGCAAGTGTTGATTGTCGGGTCATACACTTGACTCATGGATACCGCCTAGTGCATCCCTTGTAAATCAGAATTTTGCATTTTCCACGAGGAATCCAGAATTGTGGAGTATTCGCTTATTGAAGCTTTTAGTTCAATCAAAGAATATAAATAGCAAGGGAGGCAGACTACAAAAATTTGGAGAGCTTCCGTCTCAGTGGGATGATCAGGGATACCGAACAACTTCGACGTTTCTGCTGCATCGGACGAAAGTATGAATGTTTTTGTGTTTATCACACTTAAAACCAGGAATATATAAATTGGATTTTCCCCACAGTAACTAAAACTATCCCTTGTTTGGACGAATTCATTCTTTTCAAAATCTGTTTCTAATTTGTGCAGAAATATGAAATTAAAGGAGCTAGTTGAGTGACCAAAATAATTGGAAAAGACGAACTCATTTTTGTAAGAAGACCCATAATATTGATTAAATAAAATACTATGACTACTTGGTAAGTTGACCAATACTTTTATAAAGTTTTGGCTGCGCACGAGAAATTTTAATAGTCTCGTTTCCCAAGATTTTTCATGCTCTATGGTGAAGTCGCCTATAATATGCAGAATTGATTTTGCTGGGACTAAACTGTCGATACTTTGCAAATCGAAGTTGGATGATATCGAGGTGACTGAGAGAATAAGCAAGCTGCACAGGTAAGCCTGAATTATCATCTTGTCCTAACCGAAAATTGGTTTCTTAGGAAATTATGAAACTTTTATATGACCAGACATAAACGCAGTTGGAGTAAGAATATTTAAACTTGATAGTTCATTCGTCTCGCGATTCTGCTTAGGAACAAAGCGACATAAATTATTTATGATATCAATATGTTTCACTACTTATTATTTATCCCCAGTCCGACACAAAAAATTCCATTAGTTAAGATATTAATACTTGTTTTCAAAAGTCACGACAAGTAAATATTCTTCCAACGAAGTGTATAAATAGAAATTGGGTGTGCAGTAGATACATATTTACATATGTATATGTCAACATCCAATTAACTTATGGCTGCTGGCTAACGTAGCGTGCAAAATGCAAGGAATTACCAAATACAATTTCGTAAATGGGTTTCTCAACACGGTGAGCCAATCGAGGCAAAATCATTTGAAATTATTTATGAGGGGCCGTGCATAAATTATGTAACGCAAAAATCGGCATTTTTAAACCCCCTCACCCCCCGCGTAACGGCATCGTAGCGCTTCTCGACTACCCCCCCCCCACCTCCCCTTCGTAACGTAACGTAAATTTGATTTCACCGCAGGTAAAATGCGTACACTGAAACTTCTGGATGACATAAGTTCAATCAGATTTTTAATCGCGTTTATGAAATGCGTTACGTAACAAATTTGTTGTACCCCCCTCCCCCTACATAACAATTCGTAACGCTCTTCCCATTACCCCCCTCCCCCCTCTTGCGTTACGTAATTTATGGACGGCCCCTGACTCCTCGTTTAAGGAATCCCTAGTAAGGATTTTTCGTTAAAAAAAAATATAGAAAGTAAACCTTTTTTGCCTGGATTTACATATCCATCATCTTGATACACATACCTCTGGTTCATACGTTTGTATTCAGTCTTACAGATTGTAGATATATTTTTTTATGCGTATTTTCTCATTGGACGTGATATTCCCTTCCAACGTAAAGTTCTGTATGGACAAGTACCAAGTTGCAATATCATGAATTTCTACATATTTACATATTCATATATGATTTTCATTTTATTCAGTCTTAACCAGGATTCGGAAAACCCCGGGGTTTTTCTGGAATATATGCATTTTAGGCCCCCCCCATCTCATTAACCCTTCAAATTGGGTGATGACTTACAAGAAAATTCATTACTTCGAGGACATTGTACATATTTTGTAGATATGATAGGGATAAAAATAGTTTTACATAATCAATTTATACAGAAACAATTGAATGATCCAGTACGATTATTAGGTAGTACAGATTATTACATGAGATGCAAAATATTTCAAAATATTTACCCAGACTTAATAATTAACTTAATTTCAGATAAGGGAAAATTTAAGTCACCTGGAAGCTAATATGTTTTATTAATTGAGATCGGTAAAAAATCCATTAAAAAGTACGGTGGAAGACTAAATGCAGATTTTCTTTTTCTAAAAATAGATTCAACAAGAGTATTTTAACTTCTGTTATAAAATTCGTCACACAAATTTTAAAGTTCTTCCTTCAATAAATTCTGCTCGATTTCATTTCCGTTCTTCTCATTTTTTAATAATTCTTCTAAGCTTTTACGAAACTTTCTAAATTCTTCTTGATCCACAAGTCTGTCTTCCATGAGTGTCTGAAAAGTGTCCACATGTCCTTGGTAGGTTTGATACTATTCAAATTGTTAGAAAATTTCAAAGTCAGTTATTGTTTAGTCTGAACTTGGCTTTATTTTTTAAAATTTCAATTATTTTCATATGTACCTTGGAAAGTGAAACCTTCTTATTTTCCAAAGTTCTCGACCGGATGTTACTTGCAACCGATTGAATGCTGAACACTTGGCGAAATGCTTCCGTCGTCGCAACCATAGAGAAAATACGATCTTCTTGATTTTGAATAGTTTCCATAATGTTTTTCCGTTCCTCTTCATCTTTCTCCGTCTGAATTCAAGGAATGAATGAATTATTTATACACTCTTAGAAATGGGGTTACGATTATAACCAAAAATAAAACGTATGTATGTGACTCTACCGCCGTGGTTATAAATTTGTCATCGAGGTGTTACAATTGTCACCGACTAATTATGAAGTTTCACAGATTTTGTATTAAATTGTCACCAGAGCTAATAAATATTTAACCAGTTGGTGATAAATTCTTTACCACGACGGTAGAGTCACATACGTTTACTTTTTGGTTATAATCTTACACTCTAAGAAACCCGGTAACTAAGTTATTACCAGGCGGAGTATCTATGTGACTCTACCGCATGGTAATTTATTTATTATTGAGTGGTAGACATTTTATTACCAAGACGGTAATAACCCCGGTCGCGAAATTTGAAAATATTACCAGCTGGTAACTAATTTTCTACCACTCAATAATAAATAAATTACCATGCGGTAGAGTAACATAGATACTCCGCCTGGTAATAACTTAGTTACCGGGTTTCTTAGAGCGTAACCCCATTTCTAAGAGTGTAAGGTGATCCAAAATTCCAAAGAAACGTTTTTTAACATAAATTATATATTTCCAGACCAAAAAAATGTTGCGTATCCCTTCCAAATTTTCGTACAAGTTTTGCAGTACTTGCAAGAACTCGAGATCAATGTCTTCAAGGAAGGGGAGCTGTGAAGTGGCTGCTATTTTCGAGTGGACGGACACATCTTCCCGCTGTTTTTCCACGACGTGTTGTAAAGCGTTGGGCCTGTGTTTTTTATGGATTTCTTCAATCTCGTCAAATTTGTGGAGAATTTCGTAAACTTCTTTTTCAGCGGTTTGAGCCAGTTTAAAAATTTCATTTTGGGCTGTCTGTAAAGAATAGAATAAAATAAAGTTTAGATTTTAAACATTATGTATGTATTTATTTAGTGGATACATATTTTTTTAATTATGTTACATAATTTATGTATGTACACTCAAAACAAAACGGTGTCAATAAATTACTTAACCGCCTTGGTTACAATTGTGATTCCGAGTAGTAATGAATTTTTTCCGTCCGGTCACCAAAATCATCATAACTCGGATTTAACATTGTAACCAAGGCGGTTAAGTAATTTATTGACACCGCCGGTGTTGATTCGACATATTTTTATTTTGAGTGTATGGTCGAGGCATTAAAATTATGCTCATTGGTAGACCTATTCATTATGTAGAAATGCAGGCCGCGGAAGTTGAGGGGACGTGTGAAAAATTAAGGGAAGCATCCATTCCATGAGTCATTCCCGCCCGTCTCATTCTGCCCCATGTGTCATGTATCCTTATGGAGAACTTAAAATGAACTTTTCGGCGTTAATATTCAATGAAATTTGGATGTTATTACTTTAAAAAATTCTATATTTTTACCTTAACAAAATTTCACAAATAGATTTTGGGGAAAAAATTTCCTTCCCCAATAGTTTATTGCCTCCAATAGGAATAATCAAATTTGAGCTACACGAATGGTTAAATAACCATTTAATACGCCAGTCAGACATAAGAATTTTAAGTCGAAGCAAGTGTCTAAATATGCAAAATGAAAATCAAATCTGTATAAGGTGCGCGTGGTATGCCAGGAGAATTTATAAAACTCTCTGACATTTATTGGCATATACAAACGTTAAAAACTTTACTCATGTCACGGGACATGTGACCATCTACCCCCCCCCCTCCCCCCGGGATAATTGGTGACAAATGTCAGACCCCCTCCCCCCCTCTAATCGATCACGTGATTTATGGACGCTCCCCTGGTTTCGGATCCTTCTTCAGATTCCGCATATTTCTCCATGAGTTGCGACCCTTCTTTTAATGTTTCCGAGATAAGCTGATTTCCTTCCGTGACGATGGGCAAGATGAGAATCATTTTATCGGTCGCTTTTTCAAGCAGTGTTTGCGCGACCATGCTCTGTTTTAAATAATTAAGTAATTTAAGTATTCACCGGATTGAAACAAAATTATGTGAGTAAATTAAATTTGTAAATTTAAAATAAATAAATACATAAATATATAAATGAATGGTTGAAAATTTCACCCTTTAATAATTTGTTACAAGTTTCATTTCATAATGAATGAGTAAATTATTCATTCAATATTCAAAATTTTGAATGAATATTTTATTCTGATTTTTTAATAGATGGATATTGAGTGAATATCTATTTAATTCGTGTGAATGAATAATGAATGAATATTTTTTCATCATTCATTTTGAACGCAATGCTTAATATATAAGGAACGTTGAGAAATTCATCTAATACTGCACTCTTAGCAACTTGGTAAAGAATTCCTAATAAGCGTCTTTACCGAGCTCTTGGTAATTACGCGTCCTACAAAAAGTATACGGGATTATTACCGTATCAATACCAAACGGGTAACTAGCCTTCCACCGCAATATTTTAAGCTATCTTTATAATTTTGGTAATAAATTTCTACCAGCTGGTAATAATGTCGTTCAAACTTATATAGCACTCTTTACCATAATTTTAATCAAGTGCAGTACAAATTTTTTCCGTTGTGGTGCTGATGAGATCTACATTTTGGTGTAGTTTATTACCACAGAGGTAAGAATTTTAATACATTTTGTATGAATTGTGAGACGCTGCGCAGCGGCGCTTTTTCAGTTTTAGTTTCCGCTCAGCTCAACTCAAGTCAACATGCCGAAATAATCCCCGTGTCCAATTCCAAATTCTGCATGTGGGAAAAACTGATAAAAACTTTTGGAAATTAAATAGGATTTTAGGAAACAGGTAAGTATAAAATTATCATAGGTAGGTTCCTTATCAAGATGGTGATGGAGCACCATCTTAATAGGAACGAGTAAATAACAACCTTATGTTTATTTTTTCAGTGAAACGAAAATTTGAGTTGGAAATCGGAGCAGAGATTTTTCTGCAAGACGACCAAGGGGGCGGAGATCGACGACGAAGTATTCCTATCCTTGCTGAAAACCTTATAACCCAAAACTTTGAATTCTTTGTCAAAGGCGAAATACAAACCGAAGTAAAATTGAATCCGGCCTGTCCAGTTTCATCAATAATTTACGGTCAGTAATTTATTAAGCTTAAATTATTTCTAGTCTGCAACATATTATATCTTTCTAGTTGCACGTCCTGATGAGACGTCGATATCCAGTAATGGTTTCCGAAAAACCCAAATTTCCAATGAGGTTGATATTTTCAGTCAGGTTACAATCATTTAATGATATTCTTAGATATCCGAAATCCGAAAATAATTATATAAAATTATTTTTAATTTTTGAAGATTGTAAACGCTGCAACGACTGAGAGCGCCGAAATTTCCGTTTAGTAGCAGAGTGCAATCAGAAAAACTGCTTCGATAAACCGTCGTCGACAACTTTAGTTAATGAATTGGTTGCGTAGTTATGTAATTGAGGTTAAAGTTTGAGACGCTTAAGAATTCTTAATATTTAATAATATATTTAATTTGACCAATTAAATTTCAGACTTTCTCCTACAACCTCCTTCCAGAAACACTTAACAGCTGTAATAATTAAGCTACTGCCTTCATTGAGATGTTCTAAGTCAGGGGACGGTCTGGTGAGTGAAAATTTCGTGAATTATTTAAATTTGCTCTTGTATTGAGAGTTTCTAAAAATTGTGAATTTTTAATCTGCAGGACATTTTATTTGATGACGGCAACCGATGTGGACTCATCCAAAATCGACGATTTATCAGAATTTGAAGGGGGAATAGAAGAATAAATATGTAAATATGTATATGTATGTATGTAACTCTATAGTTTGCATTATTCTTAAATTTTGTAATTATGTAGAGGAGAGCCATACCAACTGTTCCACAAACCCTGTTTCCATTTTTAGCAAAAAGCAGAGTGAGAGTTGGACTCTGGTGGGTATCACCACCACCGGCGACTGTCGATGCGACAGTGCCGTATGGTGGTCTGTCTCACTTCTCACTCTCTGCAAATTGTTTACCGGGATTATGAACCAACTCGTGTTGAGATGCTTTTTATCTCTCACACGAGTTGGTTCATCTTTGGAATTCTCCAGTTTTTTAAAATAAAACTAAAAAAGTGGGAGTTTTTTTAATAAAATATTAAAAAAGTGAATCATGGAGGCTCACTCCTCCCTCCCAAGAGAGCAGCCACCTTCACCACCACCCCCAATATCACCCCTGCCACCACCGCCACCCCCAATTTCGACATCACTAACACCACCACCACCGGATACTACCACACCCACCGAAATAAGCCAAGGTAGGTACCTTTTAAGGTTGAATCTCTGAGAGCAACGGTCAAACGTGTCGAATTTTTTGTCTTGACCGTTTTAGATTGGTCGTGGATTTCAAAAATCGACTTTGTTTTGACTTGTCACGACCGTGTGACCGTGTCGCTTTACCTTTTTGCTACATTTCGATCGTTGTTTGCAACGGATTATTGAAAATGGTATGCTTTAAAAATCAGAGATGGGATAAATATTAAAATTGTTATATTATGTTATATTTTTAAAATTGTCAAAAACTCAGAGATGGGATAGTTTAAGTTGGGGTATATTTTAAAAATTTTCTAAAAAGCCGAGATAGCTTAATTATTTAAATTTTGCAATATTTTTAAAATTTTTAAACAAATAGAGATAGGATAATTATTTAAATTGGACAAGATTCCTGAAATTAAAAAAATCAGAGATGGGATAATTATTTAAATTGGGGAAGATTTTTAAAATTTTCAAAAGATCAGGGATGGGATAATTACTTAAATTTTGCAATATTTTTAAAATTTTCAAAAAATCAGCGATGGGATAATTATTTAACTTGGGCAGGATTTTTTAAATTTTCATAAAATCAGACATAGGGTAATTATTTAAATTTTGCAAGATAATTATTTAAATTAGGGAAGATTTTTAAAATTTTCAAAAAACAGATTGGGTTATTATTAACAGTTGGAAATTTTTACAAAAGTTTTGAATATTCAGAGACAGGTTAATTTTTAAAATTAGAACATGCTAATAAAATTCTATTGGAAGATTCCAATTAGTAAAAACGTTTCAAAGTATGTCAAAAATTCAAGTAGTGGTAATTGTTTTCTTTATAGTACGTCGCTGCGACATTGGACTCTTGATTGCCCACCACCGATGGACTTGTTCTGAAGACGAATCTCGACCTCTAGACAAGATTGTGCAAAGCAGAACTATGCAGTCTGTCAGGCAGTCATTTCCAGGTTTCAATTTCAAACTTATTTTCAGTGATAATTTTTTCTGTGCAAAATGCATTGAGTTTTTTGGACGGCGCCGTGTTCGCACATGTTGTCATCCAAAGCATAACAATAAATACAAAGGCATAAATGTGAAATACATCACTGCGGAAGATTACTTTACCCAATACAAAGCCCTGGGATTATTACCAAATCAAGCGATATGCAAGGACGCAAAATTCTGCTATGATGATACCCAAGAAATTCAAGATCAAGATTCGGAAGATCCTATCTTTGAAGAACCAGCCTCAAAGAAGAGATTGGTCGAGACGTTAACAAGTATCAAGCAAACAATTTCCCCTTCGGCCCCTGCAATAGCATTGAACAGAAGAAATCTCAAGCAACAAAGTAATCTAGTCACAAGAGAACTTGAGCAAGTAACGAAGACAATCACCACAGGATTCCAAGATGTCGGACTACCAATTCCAGACAAAGAACAACACAATCAAGAACAACTTCTCCAGGATTCTACAGATCTCAACTGGATCATGAAGCACTTGAAGCTAAGATTGCAAGGATGTTCTCAAGCCGAAAAAAAACAACTGCTTACCTTAGTTCCACCGTCTTGGAGTATTAAGAAGACTCAAGATTTCTTCAATATTGGGAAACGCTTGGTCCAGGGAAGCCGCAAACGTCGTAAAGAAACCGACACAATCCTTCCTCCAATAAAACCAAAATCTGGATACAAAATTACCCAAGAAACCAAATCCAATATTCAAGATTTCTATTATCAAGATGATGTGTCAAGAGCCTGCCCAGGACAAAAGGATTTTCTGTCCATCAAGAACAAGGAAACAGGAAGACGAGAACACAAGCAGAAACGATATCTTCTAAGCAATCTCAGGGAGCTCTACCAAAATTTCAAGATTCAGTACCCGGATTCGAAAGTTGGGAAATCGTCATTCATGATGCTGCGGCCACGAGAATGCATCTCGCTAACCAGCAAGGGATACCACAACGTTTGCGTGTGCATTTACCATGAAAATGTGAAGCTGCTGTTCCATGCCATCAAGATTTCATCCATCAAGCCTTCAATTTCACAATTAGTCTGTGAAAGTGGAGGCAAGGATTGCTACTACAGACGATGTACAAAGTGTAAAGGATCTACAACAAACTTCAAAATAGCTTTAAGAGAAAACGAAGTCATCAGGAACAACACGTCAATTTCATACCGAAGAAGGCTGACGACAGACGGAACTCAATACGTGACTGAGGAAAAAGAAACCGAAGACTTCTTGGACTTTGCAACTTCGGAACTGGAGAAGCTGTTGAAACATCACTACATCAGCAAAGCTCAGCATGAATTTCTTGTGGATCTTCGAAAGAATCTCAAGCCTGGTGAGCTCTTCATTTGGGGAGACTTTTCCGAAAACTACTCACCTGTAATCCAGAATGCTGTCCAGTCCGAATACTTCTCCCACAAACAGATCACTATTCACCCCTTCACAATCTACTGGGCCGTGAACGAAGTTGTATACAACATGAGCATATCTATTATCAGTGATTGCACCACTCATGACACAAATTCCTTCTACGCATTCCAGACTAAGCTCATACCAAGACTTGTTCGAGAGTTTGCTGCTGCCCAAATCAGAATTACCAAAATTCACTACGTTTCAGATGGATCTGCAGCTCAATACAAGAATCGCAAGAATTTCTGCAACTTATACCACCATCAGAACGACTTTGGAATTATAGCCGTATGGCACTATGGAGCAACTGCTCATATGAAGGGACCTCAAGATGCTCAAGGAGGAATTGCCAAACGTCGAGCAAGAATTGCATCTCTTCAAGGTATCAAAATTACAACCGCAGAAGAATTCTTCCTCTGGTGCAGTTCAAATATTGAGGGAATTGAATATATATTCGTCTCGGATTCCGAAGTTCAGAAGATTATTGAAGAAAAAGATTTGACAACCCGGTACGAGACCATCACAACCATTCCTGGAACTCAACAAGCTCACCGTGTTGAAATTGGATCGGGAAAAATTCACCTTTATGAAGTTTCTCGGGACACCACGGTGATGGCAACTAAAATAATGGAATCCGAAGTTACTCAACCTCTGGTCATCATCGATGAATGTGCCGTCAGCGATTGGATTGCATGTGTCTACGAAAACCAGTGGTACGTGGCCATCATCGATGAAGTGGACCTTGCTGACCAAGAAGTAAAGGTGACTTTCTGGAAACAAAACACCTCAAAATTAAAACTTGGAACCTCTTATATTTCTGAAAACGCGTCCTGTTACATCAAAATTGGACAAATTCTCAAGAAGATCTTCCCATCAAGAGCATCAAGACGTGGAAGGACAATCAAGATCTCACTGGAGGAGCAGGAAGAAGTAGACAGACTCTTTAGACAATTTCAGCGATGAATAAGGAAGTGGTGGCGAAGATGGACTTCGAATGGTGGTGTTGGTGACTGTTTCCCAAAGATATTTTTTAATAAAGTTATTTATTAAATCATATCATTAAATAGTTTTATAAACCTGTTGTAAAATAGGTTTATAAACCTATTTAATTCATTCAATTTTACGAAAATAAAATCTCTTGGTAATTTAGTCATGATCGCATATCGCAAATTAATTCATCAACTTGGCTTTCAATGACTTGTTTTTAATTGGTAAGAATGTTAGTTTAATTATCGCGCGATAATTAAATTAACATCACCTAAGGCGCAAAGGACCAGGGTCCGAGATTGCTGCTATCTCGCTGATGACTGGATTTTCCAGCAGGAATTATTTATAATCAAATAATTCTTGGACTAAGCATAGTCGAAACCCAAAATTACTGCATATTGTCTACTAAACATTATAATACGAATTTTTTGTAATCGCCGAAATTCATGATTTTTGGCATTTAGAAATTCAGATAAGTTTTTAATTTGGAGCGATTTGGATAAACAAAACTTGCTAATCTGAAAAATTGATAAGTGCCGTCATAAGCTCTATAGCGTCAATTTTCGAGTGGATATCACCATTATAAAATCAAAAAAGCTTAAGTTTTAAATTTGGGGCGATTTGGATAAACCAAACTTGCTTATCTGAAAAATTGATAAGTGCCGTGATAAGCCCTGTAGCGTCAATTTTCGAGTGGATATCACCATTATAAAATCAAAAAAGCTTAAGTTTTAAATTTGGGGCGATTTGGATAAACCAAACTTGCTT